TGCCTGCATAGGATCGCACGTGTGGGAGTACGCGAGAGAGAGACAGGGTCCAGTCTGTGGAGAGTGCTAGCCAGCCACACCTACATTCATTACAGCTCTGGTGGGGAGAGCAGCAACCAAGTCGAGATCAATCCCCCACGCAATGGAAGCAGAAAGGCACATGGAACTTGTTTCAGGCCAGAAGAAGTACAAAGAGTTTCTAGAAGCTGAACCTCTGAAGGTACCCAAACAGCCAAAGCCGGAAGAAGTTGCAGTGCATAATCTCACACACTTACCTTATGCATCGTGGTGTCCGACGTGTGTAGCATGCAAAGGAAAAGAGTCTCCACACCTTCGTGAGAACCCAGAGAAGGAAAGATCTTCAAGACCAACTTTCTGTATGGACTTCTGTTTTACAGGAACAAGTCATGATGAGGCACCAGCAGCAGTAAGTCTTGTGTGTGTTGATTCTTGGAGTAGGAACATGGTCTGTATCCCGACAGCATCTAAAGGAAAAGATCTTGTAGAGCACCTTTGCGAAGGAGTGACCTACTTGAGTACTCAGCTTGGATATGGAACCATCAACTTGAAGGCAGACAACGAAGGAACAATGATGAAGCTGAAGCAAGTCATCCAGAAGCAGCGAGCAGCTTTAGGTCTAGGAACAGTCTTGCAGGATGCAGTCAGTGGCCAGAAGGAAACCAACGGCATGGCAGAGAGAGCAATCCAAACCATTAGGAGACAAGGAACAACCTTGATTAGGCACCTTGAACACAGAACAGGAACATATATTGCTCATACACATCCAATCTTCAGTTGGGCTTTCAGGCACTCGGCATGGACCTTGAACAGGTACCACCGCCATTCCTCCACAGGAATGACTCCGTATGAATTCATGGCAGGAAGGCCTTACGAGGGCCAACTCGCCGAATTTGGCGAATCACTTTTGGTTTTGACCAATCGTTCAGGAACACGTGGCAATAGGAAAGGTGACCCTATTTGGTTGAGAGGAGTGTTCTTAGGAAAAACAGACAACAACCTCTTCATTACATGGCACATGGACGGCATCAAGACAAGCCGTAGCGCAAAACGTTGCTTGGAACACTTCGACGTGAAAGGAATAAGTAGCGTAGGAATTCACACTTGGGAAGTGAAGCACACTACACTGGCAACAAGGAACATTCCCAGGAAGAACATTCCAGGACCAATTGCAGAGGCGCCACCTGTCATGGATGGAGCAACCCAGGAACAGTCGGTCGAGGACTCGGCACCTTCCGCACCTTCAGGACCGATCGCAGGACCGATTGTCATCCAAGGCGGGGACTCTGCAGGGAAGTCAGGACCTACTAGGACAACCTACCTAGAGAGCAAAGCGAAGCAGGCACAGAGCAAGAGAAAAGCAGAAGAAGAACTTGAGCAGGAATACGACCAAAACAAACACGACGAAGCAGCTTCAGACCCAACGTCTTCTAGTAGCAGCAGTAAGGAAATGGACGCAGCCTCAGAAGAAGAACTCATCCCAGACAGCGCAATGGCAAGTGAGCTTCTTTCAGCTAGAGGACCAGCACCTCTTAGGAAAATGGAATTTGACGATGTAGGAACAGGTTCCAAGATCCCGAAGATTGATTCTCCGAAGAAGAAGTACCCTCCGTTCAACGTAGGAAGAGTATTTGAGCACAATGATGAAGAACTACCTGAAGCAGAACCAGGTACAGAGGACATTTTATGGGAAGATTCGTATTCGGACATTGGCGATTCCGACGAGGAACAAGACATCTTCAAGAGCGAAGATTCTGGACCTCCAGAAGTTGCAGAAGCCCAGTTGCAGGAACTGGAGCGTGAGGCAATGCTCACAGAGATCAACAGACTCACCGAGATGAAGGCATTGGCAAGGAAACCCTTGCAAGAACTCGAGAGAGAAGAGGAGAGAGAGACAGAAGAAGAAGAGAGCAACCAAGGAACAAAGTGGTTGACGACGAAATTCGTCTTCGATTGGCGATTCAGGAACGGCCGATGGATGCGGAGAGCTAGGTTAGTAGCGAGAGAGTTCAAAGGAGCAGAAGTAAGGAACGACACGTTTAGCCCAGCTACGAGCGCATCGTTGGTGAGACTTATCCCTATCTTGGGATTACAACAGGAACATTCCCTGTACTCCATTGATGTCAAGGACGCATTCTTGCAGGTCCCACAAAGGACTCGATGTGCATGTCAATTCCCGAAGGAATATGTGGATCTGTTTGGCGACGAGGACCCCAGTTGTAGGAACGAAGGTTTGTTACTGCTGAGAGTACTTCCAGGACAGCGAGATGCAGCACTACTATGGAGTGATCATTTTGCAGGAACCCTCAAAGAGCAGAACTTTGATAGGAGCAAAGCTTGCCCTACTTTGTTTCGTGACGACAGGAACAGCATACTTGTTGTGCATGTAGATGATATTCAGGCAGCAGGGAAAACAAGGCACCTAGAGCCCAAGCTAGGAAAGCTAGGAGAAACCTACGAGCTAAAGGTTGAAGGCCCCTTCTTGACAGAGCAGGAACTTGAGGTAGGAGAGTCACACCAGACAATCCGATTCCTTAAAAGGAAATTCAGCTACCACAATCACGAGCTCCACATCACGAGTGACCCGAAGTATCTTGTGAAGCTTAAGGAAGAACTGAAGCTTACCAGCAAAGCCTCGAAGCCAACTCCGTGCACCCAAGAGTCGCAGGAACAGGACAACACTCAGACCTTGAACCAGGAACAAGCAGCATCGTTCAGGAAAAGCGTCGGCATACTCTTGTATGTCAGTCAGGATCGCCCTGACGTGCAGTTTGCCGTGAGAGGTTTGGCCTCCAAGATGTCGGAACCAACACATGGTTCTTGGAAACACTTAGTCCACCTAGTGCAGTACATGTCGAGAACTGAAGGATACCATTTAGTGTACAGGAAAACGCCTAGAGGACTCAGTAATCTCCATGAATCCATCAGGAATGGTAACTACGACTTTACAGGAACAAGGCCCAAGGAACACCACCTTTTGGAAGTCTTCAGCGATTCAGATTGGGCAGGAAAGAAGGACACAAGGCGCTCAACATCTTCAGGAATTGTTTGCCTAGACGGTCAGTGCATTTACTCCTTTTCTAGGAACCAGAAGTCGGTTAGCTTGAGCAGTGGTGAAGCAGAGTACTACGCAGGAGCGTCAGCAGCGTCAGATTCTATATTGTTGAAGGAAGCAGTAGAATTCTTGACCAGGAAACAATGCAAGGTACACTTGTACATGGATTCTTCTGCAGCTAGAGGAATTATTACAAGGCAAGGTGTAGGAAGAGTCAAGCATTTGCAGATCAGGACCCTTTTTCTTCAAGACCTCCACAAAGAAGGAACAATTAGTGTTCACCCAGTAGGAACCAAGGAGAACACAGCCGACATAGGTACCAAGCCCCTTTCAGCGAAACGTATCAGACTGTTGTTGCACTGGCTAGGTTTTCAAACCAGCGAGAACGAACCAGTAGGCAGAGAAGAGCTCAAGGAACACAAGGCCCAAACACAAGCTAAAGCAGTTGTAAGAATGATCAAGAGCCCAGGAACTTTGTCTTTTGCAGCTTTGTTGTTTGCGGGAATTTCAGGTATTTCAGACAGTCTTCAGATTCAGAGTTTCAAGGAACAGTGTTTTGAGAGTTGTGTTCAGGAAGAAGAGTTTCAGCCAGACTTTCAGGAACATGTTTTCTGTTGTGCAAGTGCATGTGAGCAGGACGGCATGTGCAGTGACACGAGTGCATGTGAGCTAGGAACGTCTGCAGGAACAGCGCATGGAACAACATGTTGTGAGATGCTTTCGCAGCTCAAGGAACTCTGCGGAACACTCGCGGAACGCTCAGGTATCCAGGAACTAGTTCGCCCGGTAGCAGAAGGTCAAGGAACCTTAGAACGACAGAGTCAAGGAACCTTAGCAGCCATGGAAGCAAGCGCGAGTTCGAGCAAGAACACAGCGGAAGTTTTCAAGGAACTGAAATTTTGAAGGAAGCGGCGACAGCCTTAAGGAACGCTTCTGATGAAAGGAACTTGATCGCGGAGTCGATCAGGAAGAACACAGAGGAAGCTGCGCGTTTGCGCAAAAGCCAGGAACACGTGGCTGGTTGTGTGGAGTCCTTGACAGGACAAATCTACGACGTCAAGCACCAGGTTCAGGAAATGGCCGAACAGAACGACAGAGACCGGCAACAAGTCAAGGAACACATGGCCTTCGTCCTAGGTACATGTGACGCCGTGAAGGAACAGCTGAACCAGATGATGCAGGACTTCTACGAGCAGCAGCAAGAGGAACAAGAAGAAGAGGAAGAAGACGAAGAAGAACAAAGGAAAAGAGAAGCCAAGGACCGAGAACTAGAAGGTGAACTACGTCGTGAAGGACACGGACAAGGAACAGCACCGTCGAGAGCTACGTCACCTACGTCCCAGGAAAGGAAAGAATATTCGGACCGAGGCTACTTCGAGGGCATCCAGGAACGAGAGCAGGAAGCCGGCAACGAGAACGAGGCCTACGTCAACAGCTACGTTGGAGGAGAAGATCCCGGGGAGTACCCCGATGAAGGAACAGCAGCAGCAGAGGAAGCGACACATGAGGCTTGCCTCTATTAGCTTTATTTTCCTAGGAGAGTTTTGAAAATTACTGCGAAGTTTTCAAAACGCCTTTGCTTTAGTTTGAACCACATTTCATGGCATGAATGCATGCTTTGAATCGTCTGAGTTCATCTCTTTTATTTCCCGCGCCGCCTCGAGACAGGGGTGGGATGGGTGGGTAGCTGCACCCTGGCCAAAGGGCCGGAAAATTTTGTAGTGGGGTGTAGCGTTTGCCATGCTGGCCTGACGAGGCCGAGTTTGCAGCCAGCATGTCAGGGGACGACTCTCTTGAAAGTAGCCTCAAGAAGGCTCGCGTGCATGGGGCTTATGAGGGTCACCATGTGTCAGCTACGCGTGTTGCATCCCGAGGGCTTGGAAGCACAGTTAAGATGCCGTGGGAAATAGCTTCTACATTTCTTGACATGCCCGCTTTGCCCTCGCCTTTCGCCAAAGGGGGATGCATTGTGTCAGCGCCAGTGGGGCCGGCCGGTTCCGCAGGGCCGGTGAAGTCGTCTTCGGGAAAGCTTGAGTCACTCAGGCTTGCTGAAGTGAAGATTCCGAGTGTGCCGGGACAAAGCTGGGATCAGAAACTCTCTGAGGCGAGGGAAGCAGCTTTGGCAAAGTGGCTAGGGATTCTTGAAAGGTTCCCCGACGATTTCGGTCTTTCTTTGTCGATTCGGCTAGATAAGGAGAACGGGCGAGACTCTGACTTGAAGTCGTCTTTGCAAGATGTGTTTTCCCAAAAGGCGAGTGTCACGATCTCAGGCCGTGCTGGGCCCCTTGCCAGGTACATCAAGCACTGCCGAAGTTGCCAGGTTGTTCCTTTCCCTGTCACTGAAGCAGGGATCTATGCTTTCCTACAGGATTATGCATCTCACGAGGCGCCCACTTTCGCCAGGAGTTTCTTGAGCAGCCTTGCTTTTGCAAAGTTCACTGTGAGCTTGAAAGTGAGTGATGAAGTCTTCAGCCCCAGGGTCCGTGGGCTGTCGTCGAAGCTGTATCTTGAAAAGAGGAAGACTCGGCAGAAGCCGTCGCTCAAAGTTGATCATGTGCGGAAACTGGAGGCCATCGCTTCCGGCTCGATCGTGCTAGAGCCTTCAGACCGGGTCGCTGCTGGCTTCTTCGTGTGGACCTTGTATGCACGAGCGAGGTACTCGGATGCCCAAGCTGCAGGTGCAATGACTTGTGACTTAAGCGACACGCCGGACGGCACAGTCGGATACCTGGAGTCCGCTGTTGAGCGAAGCAAGACTTCGTTCTCTCTGGAAAGAAAGGTCAGGTATTTGCACATGTTTGCTCCCATCCAAGGTATAGGTGAGGGGCCCTGGGGTGTCAAGTGGTTTGAGTTCTATAAGGAGCATGGGCCTCCTTTGGGGTCGGGCAAGCCCTTGCTTCCGAGCCCGCTCTCTGGCGGAGGGTGGCAAACATCGCCGCTGGCGGTGGCGAGTGCCACGAAATGGATGAAGTCACTCTTGATCCGTGCGGGTTGCGACAGGTCTTCCGTTGAACCGCTTGGGACGCATAGTCTCAAGGCAACGACCTTGAGTTGGAGCGCCAAATTCGGACTATCCCGTGAGGTGAGAGCGGCCCTAGGTTACCACGCCAGGGGCCGTGATGGGACCGAGCTCATCTATGGGAGAGACAACATGTCTGCTCCTGTGCGCCAGCTGCAAGGGGTTCTGCTCGAGGTGTCGCGCGAAAGGTTCATGCCGGACGCCACCAGGTCCGGTTACTTCGTGAAGCGCTTTGAAGATCCAGAGGGGATGCCCATTCCTCCTGAGGAGGTCTTGTCGGAATCTTCTTCCGAGGCCAGCGAGGATGCCGAGGATGTCGATCATGTAGCTGCGGAGGCGGCCACCGACGAATTGGGAAGGCAATGGGAGCCCGATGCAGGCTTGCGTGCCGAGCTTGAAGCAGTCCCTTTGTTCAGGAACAGAGACAGCCGTTTCATCCATGCTGTCGCATCCGAAGAAGGCGACAAGTTCAGATGCGGAAGAAGCATATCGACCAGGTATGAAAGGTTGTCTTCCGTTCCTCGAATTTTGTTTCCGCTGTGTCGAAGCTGTTGCCCGCCTAAGAAGTGATGCTGAGGAGTGCAGTGAAAAGGAGTTTCTGAGTTTCTGTGCGTTGCGCGCTTAGGCTGAGTGCTTCCAGGAGTGTGTGCGATTTGTAGTTTTCGAGTGACATGCATCAGTCGGAAGCAAGCATCGCGTTCATGAGAAGTCGGCTCAGTCTTAGGAAGTCTGTGCTTGAACCTGGTAAGTCAGAGCTCAGGCCACGAGGTGCGGATTCGAGAGTGTTCTGAGGACTTTCAGCAATTTGTAGGAGTTTCACTAGCTCGGTTCCTGCTCCTGACGATGGCTAACTACTCTGAGAGTCAATCGGTTCTGCAGTCGCGATTGAGTGTCGTGGGTTTCGCAGAAGATGACGTTCAGAAAATCCTGCCAGAGGTGGGAAACTTGAGGAGGCTGGCGTTCATTTCTTCTTTCACACCTGGCCAGACTGACGAGGGGCCGCTGATGCAGGTGTTGAAAGACATTCTGAAGCGAGACTTGACAATTGCAGACAAGGCTAATTGGCGTGCGGTTTACAATGAAGCTTTTGCCATTGTGACCGCGGAAATGAAGCAGAGGATTGAGAAGGCCGACCCAGAGTCGACCGTCAGGCCTTTGTCTCAGCCTGAGAGGTCTGAGAGGTACGAGCGGCAGGCCAAGAAGCTTGTCGGGATTTCACTGAAAGGGCCTCTGGAGCCTGCCGATGCACTTGTTGATCTTGCTGTGGCTTCCTATGAGGCAAATGAGCTGAGGTACATTCCGTGGGACCGGTGTGTGTCCAAGGAAGCTGAACTGGCTGGCGAGAAGAAACGCGATGTCAGGTTCACTGTTGAGGAGTCTTCGGGAAAGCTTCGGATCGAGCACAAACAGCCTGATCTGGTTGCGGATACTTCATCGGAGATTCTTGTTCAGCAGGCTCTCACCAGGAGAGCTTTGGCCATGGATCAGGCGAACCTGATCGAGTTCAGTGTTGCTGATAAGTGGACTCAACGCTTGATGAAGGCCCGCATGCAAGCGCCTGCGGAGCATTTTGCCAGGCCCACTTGGAAGCAACTTGAGTCGGCAGATCGGCAGCTGTTTGCCGAGCTTCGTGATAAGACCAGGGCAGGAGTGCAGACTGTCGCATCGGGTCGCCCGTTGGACACACTTCTGCCAGATGCGATGTACATGAACGAAGTGTCATGTTTATTGCAACCTTTTCCGGCCCCTGCCCTAAAAGATGTTCCCCAGAAGCCGGATGCTCCCAAGTGGGAGAGGCCTTCTCCTTACAACAAAGGTGGAGGCAAAGGAAAGAAAGGTAAGCAGAGGTTCATGACAAGGTTGCCCGCCGGCCTGGAGGGCTGCAGGTCTCACACCAATCGTGGTGACCCAATCTGTTTTGCATTCAATCTGGGAGGCTGCCCTACCAAAGGGCAGAAGTGCGAGAAAGGCCTGCACATTTGCGCAGTGCCTAAGTGCGGTGCTCACAACCATGGTGCAGCGCAGTGCCCAAAGCGGGCTCAGGGTGGCTCGTGACTAGCGGGTCACGAGGGTGCGTCGCTGATGGCCGGTGCTCCAGAGAGTGTGCATCAGCCGGCAGCGGGAGCCTCACAGGTGGATGATCTCCTAGAGGGAGTTCATCGGCCGAGCAATGCATGCGCCGGCGGCTCTCCTCCGAGTGGTGTGGAGTGTCGTCTGCAGTCAGGTGTTGATCGAGAGGATCATCACATGCACAACGTTGGCTCTCACAGTGCCATCTCCAGGCCATCACCAGGTGTGGTGGAGGCCGCACGCAGCAGGTCCCCGAGGCCCCGTGATGGGGCACAGTCGCAGAGAGGTTCTTCACATGACGAGGGCCATGTGAGTGCCGCCGATGTTCTGCGGGTTTTCGATGGTCTTCCTTCGGATGCCTTGAAGAGGGGTGCCGATGCACCTCTCCCAACTTCGAAATCTTATGCCACGGGAGCGTATGTTCTTGGTGGTAATGTAGGCCTGAAGGCCAATGCCTCAGCCAACCCGGAGGCGCTCAAAGTCTTTGCAAGGTTTGTGAGACAGCGTGCTCCGGGGTTTAAGTTTTCTTCGATAAATATATTTGAGGATGTTCGCACTGAGCGCCATCGAGATCAGTGGAATGCCAACTTGCATAACTTGGCGATTGCACTGACTGACTTCTCAGGTGGAGCTATCTTTGTGGAGCATGAAAACGGTCGAGACGTATCCGACCTTAATGGTGCACGAGGCTCTCGCTTGCAGGTTGCTAAGGGCCCTGTCCGATTCAATGCCAGACACAATTGGCACTACACCGAGGCGTGGCAGGGCCGTAGAGTCTTGCTGGTTGCATTCACCATCCGTCATGTTGAATCGCTGTGCAAGGAACATCTTGACTTTCTCCGCGAGTGTCATGTTGATGTTCCGAAATGCGCGCCCGAGGGCGCGCGGTTGGCGCCTGCTGAAGCGTGTGCTCGTCAGCCGCCATCCTTGACCTCCCCCGTAGCTCAGGAGTCGCTTAGGCCCTTGCCCGCTTCGTTTGTCCCCGCCGTTGACCCTAAGGAACCTGTGAGCGACCCTGCTAGTCCCTTGAAGCCCGGTTCTGCTCTCTATGTCGAGATAAAGTGTGGGTCCGGATTGCTGCCGGCTCGGGTGCGGCGGGACGGATTTCAAATCATAGCGCTTGAACATTCTCGCCCCGCTGGGCGAGTGCACACTCACCTTGTCCCGGTGGACATTGAAACGGAGTCGGGTTTCTCCTTTGTGCAGACTGTCATCAGCCACGATGCCCCTTTTCACGTGCATTTCTTTCCTGCGACCAAGGATTGTTTCAAGGCTGCTTTTTGCGCCGGGCAAACCATTCGCATCGCCAAACTCTTGCTTGCATCTGATTCGCATTGGAGTGTCTTGCATCCCCTGGCGTCAGTCCTGTGGAAACAGCTCGACTTGCCCGACAACCTCCATTGCGTGGACTTCTGTGCAGGTTGCTACGGGGCTCCCAGTCCTGTCAAAATGCGTCTGTGCACAACCCAGGCCGCGCTGGCTGGCATGCCGGTGCCAGCATGTCGTTGTCGCCCCGGGCCCCATGTTGCGGGCTCGCTTTCGCCAGATGCCTTGTACACTTCGAAATTCTGTGATGTGTTTGCTGGCCTCCTGCAGCTGGCGGTTGGCCAATCTGGCCTCTTACTTGAGCATGCTCTTCCACTGCAGAGTTCGCGGCATTCTGCCGTCGCAGCCGCTGGGCGGCAGCCGCGATTGTCAAAATTCCAGCCGCAGATCGCCGAGTTTAAGTGCCAAGCCACGGTCCGTGAGTTTCCGTGGCCCCTTCCTTTGGATAATAAGGGCAATCTCACCTGTGCCGTAGGGTCGATCCCTCCTGGCTCCCGCCTTCTTCGCGTTGTGTGTGATCGGGGGGTCGTCGGTGCGAAACAGGTCGGAAGCCTGTCAGGTGTGCCTTCAGCAGTTACCTTTGGCATTTACCGCACGGAACAAGAGTTTGTGGCTCAGGCATTGCATATCGATCATCCCTTCGACTTGTGCGTGGCAGTCCCAGACTTCATGTTGAGAGCGTTGGCTTTTACCTTGAAAGAGGGCCCGGTTGGTGTGATGAAGCACCGTCTGAATTTGCTCCAGCAGTGGACTTCTTGGAAACGCGATTTGGCTGGTGCCGAAGCAGAGCTGCATGCTGCCATGGATCCTGGTGTGGCTTCTGTTATGAAGGGCAAGAATATTTTGCTTTTGGAAAAAATTGCATCGTCTTTCGGATGGCCTGACACTGAAGTCTTCGAACACCTTAAGCATGGTTTTCCTTTGGTGGGGGAGTCGAGTCCTTCTGGCATCTTCGACGTGGACAGAAAGCCGGCTCTGATGACAAGGGCAGAGCTTGTGCAGCATGCTAAATTCCTTAGGCCTGCGCTGTGGGCGAAGGTGGCGAATGCGGAGGTGGATGATTTAGCTCGGGAAGTGTGGGATTCCACACAGCAAGAGATGCTAGTCAAGGAGTGGCTAACCGGGCCTTACTCGTGGGACGAGCTGCAAGCCCGTCACCCAGAAGGCTGGCTTCCAGTGCGGAGGTTCGGCATTGTGCAAAAAGCCAAGACGAGGTCGATCGACGATTTGGCCGAGAACTCTGTAAACTGCGCTTACGCTGTTTCCGATCGGATTTCTTTGAGGGCCCTTGACGAGTTGGTCTGGCTTGCGATCACCCTCTTCAAGATCTTCCTTGCAAAAGGCGAGGTGAGCATCCCGTTGTCGGACGGTGACCATCTTCGCTTTCCGGTGCATTCTTTCTGGAGGGCCCTGAAACCCGAGGCGCTTCAGCCGAGCTTGAAAACAGTGGACTTGAAGAGTGCTTATAAACAGTTGGCGGTTTCTCCACGAGACCGCTGTCTGAGCATAGTGGCCATCAAGGACCCGGTCTCGGGGCTTGCGTTTGGCTTCGAGAGCCGAACCCTTCTGTTTGGGGCCACCTCGTCGGTGGTCTCATTCAATCGCGTTGCAAGACTGCTCCAAAGGGTTCTGGTTGCCTTGCAGGTGCTCGCCTGCAACTACTTCGACGACTATCCGGTGTTGGAGGTCCTGCCGCTTTGCAACAACACGCAGTCAACTATCAGAGCTGTGCTGGACCTGTTGGGTTTCACATGGGCAGAAGATAAGGATCTTCCCTTCAGCCATGAGGCTGAGCTTTTAGGCGTTCGGGTTGACCTTGGTTGCTTTGGGGTAGTTAAGATTGGGAATAAGCCCGAACGTGCAACTTCCATTGCTGACGCAGTGGACTCCGTCTTGAAAGCGGGCCATCTTGATCCGAAGACTCTGCCATCATTGTTCGGTCGCTTGCAGTTTGCAGAGGGTCAGCTTCACGGGCGATTGGGCAGATTGGCACTGGCCGACCTCAGGTCGTGCACGATGAGTTCTCAGGCCAAAACCCTTGATGCCACGGCTGTGCAGGCCCTTTGTAATCTTAGGTCCCGGGTTCTTGGGGGTACCCCTAGGATAGTCCCGGCTTGTGTGGGGTCTCGTCGTTCTGTGATTTTCACAGATGGAGCGTACGAGCCGACGAGTGAAACTCACCCCGCCACTGTCGGAGGAGTCTTGTACCATTTCGACAACGGCGCGTGGTGCACTTTCTTCTTTGCATGTGCTATCCCTTTGAGCGTTGTACAGAGCTGGGAGGCTCTCGGGAAAAGGCATTTGATAGGCCCAGTTGAGATGTATGCAGTGGTATGTGCGAGAGAAGCTTGGGCAAAGCACTTGGACATGCAAAGGGTGACCATGTATGTGGATCACTCCGGAGTGTTGGCCTCCTTGGTGAAGGGCTCTTCGAAAGACCCTTTGTGGAGGCAACTCTTGCTGATCTTTGAGAGCTGCGACGCTGAGGCGATGCTTCCTTGGTTTAGCCGCGTTCCAAGTGCAAGTAATCCGGCCGATCCTCCTTCGAGAGCTAAGTCAATCTTTCCAGTCAGGGGGCAGGTGTGCAGAGTGTCGCCTCGATGCCCGATCAAAGGCAATGCCACGATTGATCTCCTTCTTAAGTGAATGGGGTGTTCGTTGGCGATCCTCGTGTTCGCCATCGATCGGTGCGGGGATGTCACGACTTCCCCCTTCGGCTTTGCCGGAAGGAAAAAGCGCCACATCTGCTTGAGCAATTTTCTTATTCTTTATATACTTTGATTTTCCCATATAGCTTGGGAATACTATGATTGGAATCTTACCTCAGAAATAAAGCAAAGCTCCGTGGAAAATAAGCGACACATGAGGCTTGCCTCTATTAGCTTTATTTTCCTAGGAGAGTTTTGAAAATTACTGCGAAGTTTTCAAAACGCCTTTGCTTTAATTTGAACCACATTTCATGGCATGAATGCATGCTTTGAATCGTCTGAGTTCATCTCTTTTATTTCCCGCGCCGCCTCGAGACAGGGGTGGGATGGGTGGGTAGCTGCACCCTGGCCAAAGGGCCGGAAAATTTTGTCCCTCCCTCCACTCCCGGGGTGTTCGTTGGCGATCCTCGTGTTCGCCATCGATCGGTGCGGGGATGTCACGACTTCCCCCTTCGGCTTTGCCGGAAGGAAAAAGCGCCACATCTGCTTGAGCAATTTTCTTATTCTTTATATACTTTGATTTTCCCATATAGCTTGGGAATACTATGATTGGAATCTTACCTCAGAAATAAAGCAAAGCTCCGTGGAAAATAAGAAGAAAGTGAGGAAGCAAAGGAAGAGAGAAGAAAGAAGAAAATCGCGGAGATCAACGCCAAAAGCAAGCAAAGGCTCAAGGAAAAGGAAGAGGAGAAGAAGCTCTTTCCGTACCCCTACGACTACGCCAGCGAATGGAAGGAATACTCCGAGAACGGCGAGATCTACAGGCAACACAGAGTTACAGGAGAAAAGCAGTGGGTCGACAAGGACTACACGTACAAGCACGAGAAGGGAACAAAAGGAAAGAAGGAAGGAAAAGGAAAAGGAAAGCCAAAGGCAAGAGCAGAAAGCACAGGATTTCGACCTCGAGATGAAGATGATCGCAAGTACTGGGAAGAACAGGACAGGATCTCAAAGGAACAGAGAGAAGCAAAAGCAAAAGCAGAAGAGGAGAAGAAGGCAAAAGAGGAGCAGATTGCCAAAGCAAGGTTGATTCTGGAAGCGGCAGCAGAAGAGCAGGAGAAGAGAGACAAGGAAGCAGCAAGGCAGGAAGCAGCCGCAGCCGCCGAGAGAAGGCGAGAGGTAGAAGCAGCAGCCAAAGCCAAGGCAGAGAGAGAAGCAAAGGAAAAGGAGGAGACCGAAGCAGCAGCAGCAAAGGAGGCAGAGGAGAAAGCAGCAACCGCAGCAGCCAAAGAGGAGAAGGAAAGAAAGGAGCAGGAGAAGAAAAGAAAGGAGAAGGAAGCCAGGAAGAAGAGAGAGGAAGACCAAAAGGCAGCGTCAGCGTACATTGCCAAGAAGGAAGCAGAAAAGAAGGCAGCAGCAACAACAGCAACAGGATCAGGTGAAGCAGACAGGATCCAGAAGCTTGAAGAAATGATGAAGGAGATGATGAAGGAACGCAAAGAGGATAAAGAAAGGATTGCAAGCCTTACACAGGAGCTTGAGAGCAGAGGATCAGCAGCCGGGTCGCAGGCACCCACAGAACCAGACACAACACCAGCAAAGGAAGAGGAGAAGCCAGAAGCAAAAGGAACAGGAAAAGCAACAGGAAAGGAGCCACCGAACGTCACACAGCACAAGCAGAAGGAAGAAGACAAGGACGACCCAGAACTGTCCGCCAAAGGACCAGTGAACGAAGCATCGTTCATGAAAGGAAAAGGAAAAGGAGAGTTTGAAGGAAACTGGTTTGCAGTCTACAGTTTCCAGAACAGGAAATACCAGTGGAAGTGGAACGAAGCCAAGGCACAGTGGTACTGGTATTCAGGATCAAAGGAAACAGGTTGGAAAGCAGCGTCAAAGGACAAGCAAGGAAAAGAAAAGTGCAAAGCGCAAGCAAAGATGAAAGAAGAGTGGCTAAAGGAACAGCTTCAAGACCAGAAGGAAGCTAAAGACAGCGAAGAGGAAGGCGAAGTGAACCTTCCAGTGAAGCAAAGGAACCACGAGCAGTACTGAGGCCAGAGAGCCGAGGAAAGAAGCAGCAGGACACAGGAACCGTGGCACAGCCCTTTTTGTTTCTGTGGTGATCTAGGTAAAGTGCAGGAACGTCTTTTGTACAGTCGAGCAACCTTGGAGAGGATTGCGAGTGAACGTGCGCATACGTTTGCGATGAGGAACAGTGTTTGTTTTGCAAGTGAAAAGGAACTGCAGTGTGTTTACTGTTTGTCAAGGAAAAGTCGGAGTCACCTCAGTCGAGGAACTTTCGCTAACTCCGAAGGCGGGGTGTTAAACATTCTGCCAGGAACAGTAACACAGCTAGTGCAGTACAGTTAATGTACAGGAACAGCCGTCACGCACACGCGACGTGCAGGCTCGAGACCCCAGGACACACCGTGCCCAGGAACAAAAGTGTCCGACAGTCTTTGTGGGTAGGAACCCTTAGTGAAGCCCGTTCTTTAACAGAAATGCAATCAGGTCAGCAGGAATGGTCACGGCAGTGATCTCAGTGGAACAAGGAGAGGACTGTTGGACAGCCCCAAGTATTTCGGAAAGCTTCATTGTAAGCGATGCAACAAACATTCTGTTGTCGATGGGAAGACTGCTGAAGAATGGTTGGAGATTGGAGTATCAACCAGAAGTACCCGAGGGAGAACAAGCTCTTAGTACTCAGTGGAATCTTACGGTGTCGTCAATGGTTCTGGTTAGTCCAGATGGAAGAGCGAACGCGAGGATCTTTTACAAACGGAATAGCTGTTGTTTGTTAGGTAGATTATCGGTTGTCGGAAGTGATCGTAGTACCCGTTGGACGGGAACAGGACGAACTGGTGGAAGTTCGGGAAGTAGCACTGACAGTCGGACTGCAGTTGAGAGAAGCGTCACAGTACGTATTCCGAGCTACTTGAGGGAGCTGTTGGACAGTACTCCCAGCGGTAAATGGACGATCATGGATGATGGAACACCATTTCTTTTGTATCAAGGAACAACGTATATGGATCCTAAGGATGCGTTCCCAGGATGGAAGTATCGGACGACAATGGTATCAGAAGGAGGAAGTGAATGGTCACTGGTCGAGTTGTACTCGGACTATGGTTCAATTAGGAGCCACAATGTGGAAATTGCAGAGTGTCATGGGACACCCAAGAGGATCTGCGTTATCCTCCATGCAGTGAGCTTGCGGTCAACTTGTTGATAGCGTTTTAAAATTCTTTCTTTGAAGAAACTCGGGGGAGTTTCGTTTCTGCATGCTCTTGGTCTTGTGCAATGAGCCGCATCGCAGTGCGAGCCACAGAGGCTCAAAAAGAAAAATTTTCATCAGGCTCTCTAGAGGCTTGTAGATCTGTCCTAGCAGGCCCGAGACCTCCGTACTTCGATGTTGCTCTTAGAGAGCTGTGCAAGACTGCCCGCGTGGGGCAGTCGGATGGACAGAGCCGCGTCAGCCAGCCTCGCTGCTTCCGGCAGCTGCTCGGACCAGCAGGGCCCTTGATCGGCCCCTCCTGCTGCCTGGATTAAGCATTCCAAAGCACGCTTGCGGCAGCTCTTTTGCCCTTCCCTTGAGCTCCGCTTGCACTGTGGGAGAGCACTGCTGTCTTGCTATACCTGCTTCCGTCAGCTGTGTCATGGACTCCTCCGAGGAACCCCCGCTTTTGCAGCCTGCTTTCTCTTCGGATAATGTGGGGTTAGCTTCAGGATCGGGTTCTTCGAAGGATGCTGATGTGCCTGCTGTGAGTTCCGAGCAAGCCGTGTGCGACTCTCCAAAGAGTATGGGCTGGAGCCTCCCAGCTCAGATCGATAAAGAGCCGAGCTCCTCTGCATGGGACGACCCGTCTGGTGGGGAGCTGGAATTTGGCAGGCAAGGTCAGGTTTTTGAAGCGGACTGTGAACGCGAGTGGACAAGCGACGTTTGGGACGACCGCGAAGAGATTGCTTACTACCGTGGGTTTGATGAGGGGTCTGGTTCAGATCCTAGAATCTTTGGAGAAGATGATGGTTTTGATGAGGCATTACAAAGGCTCATAGGGAGGGATTTTGAACCGTCCGAGCTTGGTGTCCAATTGCATGCCAGCGACCCCGAGGCCCGCATTGATGATTCTGTTGCGGACCCGGTTTTTGTGCAGGAGCGGATGCTGGACGAACTAGTTAGATACCCAGCGCCGCCAGCAGGTTTCAAGCTTCCTTGGGAGCGAGGTCCTATGAAAAGCATCTTCAGCGAGCACCTTCCTCAGCTGCCGAGTCTTGGAGGGATGCCCAGGCGATGCATGCCAGACCCCTTGCCGTTGGTTGCTGCATCCAGTGCTGTGAAAGCATCCAAGCAAGTGTCAACTTCGGAGCCAATTTTCAAATTGGTAGTGAAAGCTGTCAAAGACGTGGGTTTCATTGAATGCCGTGAGGAAATGCTTCAGGTTTCGGTGCATAGGCTTGCCATTAGCCTGGAGTTGGTCGGTAATGCTTCGGTGCCGCCGGAACTGCTACACCAAGGCAGGGTTGATGCAGAGTCGCTCGAAGCCGCCCTAGGTGTGAGAAGCCCGCTCACGAATACCAAGCGCGCGAACAACCTTGCTAGTTACATCAAGTGGTGCACGGGCGAGAAAGTGATGGGTGGCTGTTTCTTTCGGGAGGCAACCGTTTGGGAATATCTCTGTCACTTGAAGAGATCCGGGGCGCCGCCGTCTCGAGGTGCCGACTGCGTTTCCATGTTGAGGTTCCTGCACTATGTTCTCTGCCTCGACCTTGCACCAATACTTAAAAGTCGACGCATTAGCGGAATCACAGAGCAGATGCGAACAGGCAAGGGTTGGATAAAGCAAGCAGCGCCGATCTCCCTGAGTGAGATTCTTTTCCTTCACCAGTTGCTAGAAGAACAAAGGTTGCACAAGTACGATCTTGCAATGGTTTCTTATGTGCTCATTGCTTTGTATGCCCGTGCCCGCCACAGTGACTTAGCTGATGTGCAGAACGTCAACCACG